TCAGACATGTACTCTGAAGATTCCCTTCCAGTAGTGTGATGGAGGGAGGGGTGTGTGAGACTAGACTGTTACCAAGGGAATAGTTAGTGAACATGACTTCTGAAATTGTGTTTTGTAAAGAGGTTATTTGAAATTCCTGAAAGGCTCAATAGCTTAGACAGTAGGAGCTGTGCTGACATCTGCCTGACTGACTAGCTTGTGTTATCTATGCTGCTTGTAGAATGACTACATTTGGGACATATGGGGAAATGAGGAATGCAGTGGAATGAGTAGCAAAAATACAGTAGCAAAGAAAAGTAGAAAAAAGCATTAATTAGAAGGCAGCATTATGGCGTGCAAACTGCTGTTTGTACCAATGCTAATTTGGGATGTTCTGTATACTGGAGCCTGTGCACTCTCAATTCATGCTCAGCTTTTTATAGTAAATAAAATAAGAACTTTATTTCGTAGTGCTGTATTTTATATATGGTTTGTTTATGATGGCTCCTCTGGAGAATATGATCCTGCCTTGTCAGTATTTTTAGAAGTTGGTATAGCAGCCAAAGTGCTTTAGGTATTTTTGTACCAGAAAGTTGTTTGAGAGAGGCACAAAAGTTACTGTTGAAATGACCAGCAATATAATAATGACCAGCAATTTAATTAATGACCTGCAAAGTTCATAGTGAATAATCTGGTGATTTTGTTTGTTTAGTTTTTTAAGCCTCAGGGTTATCGCAACACTCAAACAAATGGCCCAGTTCAGGCTTCTTGGAATATTGTTAGAGATTCCCTGATGGCCTTGCAAGCATTGTATTACAGTTGGTTAACATTTCAAAATAACCTTGACAAGTGTGAGAGAACAAGGCCTCCCTGGTAAAATGAAATTACAGATTATGTGGGTCGCCAGCAGCTGTTTGTGCCTTCTGCCTGCCTTAAACACGACCGTATGGTATGTGGTGTGCTGATGCACATGGGAAAAAGCTGCTATTTTAAAGTATGTGCAGTCTAGCTGCAACACATGGTTTGGGGGCAGATGTTGGGATGTAGTTAAAAATTGTGTATCCCAATAATAAAATTTTGAATGTGAAGTAACAGCAGCCATAGTTTTTGCAGTTTTCTTTTGCATTTACAGCTCCCAGCCAAGCTCCCAGCTTAAGTTAATAGGCCCAGCTGATACATGCACAATCCTCCCTGATAAGAGAGCATTCTGCAACCAGCAGAGTAGTAGCTTCTGGAGGAGTAAATAGTAGCTTTCTAAACTGCAGATGGATAAAGTGGAATCAAGAATTTGATCAGACCAAAGGTGTTATCAAATTGCAGGTGTAAATAGCTCCAGGGTGTCTTATAGATGGAACTGTGTGCTGTTATTTAGGTCAATGGTAGTTTTTCCAAACTTTTAAAGATTTATAGCAAGCCTGAAAGTATAATCAGTGTTTGAGACTCTGCTACATATTTCAGCTTTGTAACACCAATTGGAACATGCTGTGTTGATCCTTTTTGCTTACAGCTGTCAAATACTATTGTAGATAAGAGGCTAATAAATGAGCTGTTGGGAGAACAGTTCTAAAGGCAAAGTCACAGCAGAAATATCTTTAAAAACAAGTTTACTCTGAAAGAACTACATATATGTTGTACAATAAATTATTAAAATAGCTTGCTTAATCTCCTGTGGTCTTGCTATTACTCTTGTACAGGGGTTCAGTTAAAGACTGGAAATCATAGTGTTAAACATGGTATATTGAGTTCTTTAGTGGGATGTTGCAGGCAAAAGTTATGTCTAGCTTTATTAAGAGAGTGTTCAAAACAGATTAATTTTATTGCACTGCATTAATGTAGTAACCTCCCAGTTTATCATAACTTTAATAAATCTAAAATAGCTGGGATATGAACTTCAGCCCATGAGAACAATTTGTGCCTTGAATTACAGTTCCTCCTCACATAGATATAAATGACTGACACATCTCTCACAGGATTTTGGCAAGTTCAGCCTGATCTGAAATAAAGTATAGAATCTGATATGAAGGGAAATACAGTTAATGGGATTTTTGGCACTGAGAGGCAGAAAGGGAGCAGGACCCTGTGAGTGTGTGGAACAGAGAGCTGGTTGTTGAGAACTGCAAATAGAAGATACATCATACATCAAGTGGTTTTATATTACTCTATTATTATTTATATACTTGGAAGGTTATCTAGAAACAGTGCTTCAGTTTTGATGAATGATAGTCTAAGAATATTTTAAAATAGTGCCTCTGTTTCTTCTGATGAAGAGAATGCTCTAAGAGCCTTAGGAAACTTAGGAAGGATGTGCAATTTCCATGGAACTCTGATATGCATAAGGCCAAATGGGAGAATGGTGTAGAGATGTCCAGGCTGTTCTTAGGGACTTAGGCAACCAGATCAAGTTATGATCCCAAAATCTAAGAACTTACTTTTCCCTTGTAGGGGAAAAACCCTTTCTGTGTCAGGCACAGGGATGTGGTCGCTCCTTTGCTGAATACTCCAGTCTTCGGAAACATTTGGTTGTCCACTCAGGTAAGAGTCTTCATCTGACATTCTGTGATCTGTCTGAAAAAAGACCTTTATTGTAGGACTTTGATTTGATTTCCTTAAGAAAAATCCTGGTTTCTACAGAGCTTCTGGTCATGGTGTTTTTTGACTTCCCTTTTGTAGTGCCTGTAGCCTGTACACTTTAATTTTTTAGGTTGTATCTATTTTTAAACAACTGAAATTCCATTCTAATTTTTTTTTCTAAAATGCCATGAAGTTGAATATCTTTTTCATAGCCGCCATTTGGTTCTTTAAAAGAGAGACTCTAGCATCTCTGTATATTAACCACAGCCATTTGAATCTGATATCTCTTTCAAGTGGATTTCTGCCATAGGTAGAGTTTTCTGTTATTTTTTCCTACTACATGCGTGTAATTGGACAAAGGTTTAGGTGCAAATGTATTTCACAAGTGTTTCAAAGCTTCTGCCTTCTGTTTTGATTGATCTGTCATAAATATCATCAGCACACAATGAAAATGGTATGTTTGGGGAATGGGAGATTTTATTGAGGTAATAACATTTGGGATTGAGTTCTCCATGCTCTTTCTGTCCTGTCTCCTTGGCTTCCATGCCATTGAGCCAAGAAGTATGGACAGCATGCTTATATTTTGAAAATGATGAACTGCTCTGTAAAATGAAAATCCTTTCACAGTGACAAGTCATCATCAAGTCTCTGCTCAGTAAAGTAAAGCAGATGCTGCAATTTATTGTGTGATGGCAGGAGACAGCTTCCTTGCCTCTGGTCATTTTATTCTATCTGTGGGACATCAAGTATTTCCATATCAATGAGTTAATGATTTCAAATAACTTGTTTCCTCTCATCAGTCTGACTTGAAGACTTTCTTACTATTCAGACTTGAGTTATCTGACAACTGCCGTCACTGATATCTAAACCTCTTTTGTTCTAGAAGTTTATGGCCCTCAAGGAGATGGGAATACGTCTTATTTGGTTTTTACTGATAAATTACCGCCAGTGGTATTAACAGCCATTTCAAAACTGTTATTAGTTTTTTAGTTGATGAGGTCTCTTCTCCCAATTTGGTAATTCTTGGGATATTTCTTCCCCCTTTGACTCCAAGGAGTGAAGCCCCATCAGTGCCAAATTTGTGGGAAGACATTTTCCCAGAGTGGTAGCAGAAATGTGCATATGAGGAAACACCACTCCCGAATTGGAACAGCTGGCAGCAGGGAGCGAGAACAGCCAGGTAAAGAAGGGAGCACACACACTCTGGGGGAAAAGTGCAGGAAAAAAATGAGTGGATGGTTGAAGAAAAGATGTTTGTCCTGATAATATGAAACCACAAGCCAGTAAGAAACAAAAGTCTGTTCCTCTTGGAGATAAGGACTGTTACTCTTCCTTTTTCTAGGACAGAAGACAAAGGTGTATTTTTGTATGGCAGTCAAGGGGCAGATATGTTTATTGTTTTCAAAATCAATGTGAATCTAGTTGGGTTTTTTTATGTGGATTTTTTCCCTTGGTTATGTTTTCTTGTTGCAAGCTGCCTGGGTTTTTACACAATGTGAATTATTTAAAGAGAAAGCCAATCCTGCATAACATCCCACCACAGTAAGGTTCAAAACAGTAAACATGGTGTTTTCCATCCATTGGAGCACTGGCTGCCCAAAGAGTAGGAATGGATAAAGAAGGTGTCTAGGGAAGAATTCAGCATGACTTGAAGTGGGGCAGGGATTGGATCTTATATTGCAGTGTAATTGCATCATGGGAATTCTCTTTTACTTTTTTTTTTCACTATAGAGTCACTGATGGGCAGCAGTTTGCTGGAAGAATCGACAGTGCATAGTAAGAATCTCATCTCCATGAACTCTCAGCCCAGCCTTGGTGTGGAGTCTCTGCACCTGCCAGACACTGAGTCAATTATTGGAGTAGAAGAGGGTGAGACCAGCTGCTCTTTTTTCCGCCCTCTTATATGTGGTGACTGAGATGGGATTGATCATTCTTCCTTGAGGCTCATCATATTGCAGTGGGATGAATGAACATTGGTTTAACTGTGCACAGAGGGGTGGGTAGATAGTGGATGAATCCTGAAACTGGAGTTGGAGAAGATCTGCTGGACCAAGTTTCTCTCTTGCAGAGTTTGAAAGGTGAAGTCTGCTTAGGTGTCACTTAGCCCATGTTGTGGAACGCCATTTCAAAACTGCTTATGCAGTCCATCTCCTAAAGCCTAAAGTGTTTGTTTTGCTGGAGCACCTAGGAGCCCCAGCTAAGGACCAGGACCTCATTGTGCTAGGCACTGTTCAAATATTCAGTATCTTGAGCAACAGGCCTTCCTTCTACCCTTTACCTTCAGAGACTATATTCTAATACATCTCACTGTCAGAAGCTGACTTACTATACGAAATAAATGTACTACTTGATATCATTTGGTTACATTTGCTGTGTTCTGTTCCTGCTTTTCCCAGTCATTTTTCTCCAAAATGTTTTTGGTATATCAAGCTCTTTAAATGAGTCTTCCACATGGTGTTCTGAATACTTTGTTAACTTAAAGAGCCTTCACAACTGGAATTACTGAGAATGCAGATTTTGGTAAGGTACTGTGTATCTGTAATAGCTTCTATGCAAAGGGAATGCCTAGAGTTTATATTGCTCCCTAGCTGAATGGAAAGGTCGTGCTGCTGCTGGAACAGGTATTGTAACCTGGAGGTTCCTGCAGAAGCTCCACCAGGTACCTGGGAATCAAAGTGATGCAGTTTGGCTGCCATCTCAGCAATTGATGGGAGATACTCCAGTGAGATGTTTTCTTTTCTACAGTATTTTTGTAGGTTTGCTGAACAGGCTGTAAATCTTGTAACTGAAAAAAACCAAATACTTTCATAAAATGCAAAAATCCAGAACCATAGTTGAAACTCTTTATTTTCATACAATTTTTGAGACATATTAAGAGACTACAGCTCTCTTTTAGGATTACAGAAACATAATCCTCCTTTCAGAACAAAACTTTGTTTAGCAAGAGAGATGTGAGTTTCAGTTACTTAGTTTGATGCTTTTACTTTTATCACATTTCTGCAATTTCAGTTTAGGGACCAATATGAAGGCTTTAATTTATTTGTTATTATATTCATGCATGTCACCTTACTATTTGTTAAAAGGATATGGCATAATAATTTAAACTTTTGTTCCTCCTTTCTTAGGGTTTCCCTTTTCACTTCACATACTTGGAAATTTCTTTTTTCAGCACCATTAACTATTATTATGGAAATCAGCAACCAATTTTAGTAAATACCCTTTAAAATGTATGTATTAAAATTTCAGTCCCACTGCTCCAAATATATCCATACAAAGAGGCTTTAAATCACAGACTTAGAGCATGGAAGTAATCTTCTTTCCTTCCTCCTTCAATGTGGTGAGGCACGGTGACAACGTGGTTACATCACTGCTCTTTTCCAGGGGGTACCCAGAGAAAGAGCAGCCTCTGGCTGCCCTACACAATTACACCTGTGTAGGAACTGGTACACTGGTAACAGCCTTTCTGGAACCCTGCAAAGAGCTGAAGCCTGTTGTCTGTGTGAGGATTGAGTCACTTAAAGAGGATGTTGCCGTTTGGTGCAGTCTGTAATGCAGCAGTGTGAAACCCCTGGGCCACAAATCCTTGGATTTAGTACTTTGTTACGATTAAAAATGTCATTATTTCAGTTTTATATCTTTGTCTAATGTGGTAGCTCTGACAGGTACTGTATTTCTGACTTGATGATAAGGCTGTGTTGTTACAGTGTAAGGAAAAAAGGATTAAGGTGACAAAAACAGACATATCTTGTATTTAAGTAAGTGAGGAAAAGATGACTGATGAGGAAAATTGAGCAATACGGAAACATTATCTCTATTTGAAAATACTTTAATGTCAAAGTGCAAATTTCTCAGAAAACATTCCAGGTGGTAAGGATTGTTATTTTTGAAATGATTATTAGTGTCAGGCAAAGGGAGATCACTAAAGTGTGAAATACCCCTTTCAAGGTGCACTAGGCATCTGAGTGCAAAGTCCTGGCAGGCAACACCTAACCTTTTTTCCTCCAAAATCTGTCTTTGATATCACAGCAATCATACAATTAGGATAACAATAATTCAAAGTGATGCATTCAAAGTGTTTAATTACAACCTTCTTCATAACTGATTGTTTTTTTGGGCCAAATTAATGACCTAAATTGGTAAGGTGTTGAAACACTTTCAAATCATGAAACATGGGACATGTTTTAATATAGGAAGACTATTGCTTCTTACTAATAGGGGGAAGAAGCTGAGCTGGTAGTGGGTGAATGGAGAATTAACACCAGAGAAAGACTTCCCTTTGAGTCTTCTCCCAAGATGGGTCAAATCCTGATATTTGTTTTTGTAGAAGTACCTTGTTTGAAAGCATTCTACCACACATGTGTCTAAAAAAAGCTCTAGCACAGTAGAAGGCATTTTTCCTTTCCTGTGTGCTTCTGTGGCATGAATGCAATGAGCTGACAGTAGAGGATGCACCTCTTCAATCTTTCATATCTACTTTTATCCAAAGATAGTGCTTCAACCTCTCTAACTTGTTTTGTTGCCCATTAAAGGAAAGAGCTCACACAAGGGACACTTTTGAAGACTAAGGGAGGCTGCAGGGTTTGCTGGGCTGAACAAGACGTGCTCTAAACAACAGCTGTTTTTTTCCCTTTACTAAATTCTCCCATCTCACCCCACAGCAATTCTTAGGTGTCAGCTTAAACTATTAAGTTCCTGAGGATTAACCTGGAGAATCTTGAGCGAAAGAAGTCAAGAACTGATTGATGGATTCTTCTGCAAGCTTTTATGCTGCCACTTCCTTTGTGCTCAGTTCCTCCTGAGGTACTTCTTCCTGTTTGGTACAGGCATCCTTTTCACCCCGAGGCTCAGGCAGCCTGCAGAAACAGTGATGGGCTAATACCAGAAATGGTTGGCCCCATGCATATGAAATAGGGTGCAGTTATAGGAATTCAGAGAGAGAAGCCACAATACTTAATAAGAGCAGGGAAGTTAATTTAGTTTTTCCTACACTAGATTATAGAAACTGGAATGCATTCATGAACAAGGAAAATATTTTTAGTCACCTTCAAAAGAGCAATGCTGCATTGTTTTTATTACCTGTGAACATCAGATTCTTCTTCCAGCAAGTCAGTGGCATCTTTCCCTTTTTTCTTTACAAATTCTTCGCTCAGGCCGACCTGCTGCAGGGTGCGTCTGTAGCGACGCTCTGCTCCCTGACGAGCATCACGCTGTGAAATCGAAACTTAAACAGTAAATGCAGAGAACTGGGGATTCCCCATAACAGTGAACTGGTTTTGAAGTGTACATCTGATGCTCCTGATGGGAAAAGAGCACAACACAATCTCCTGTCCAAAATTTTTGTAATCCATACAGTGCAGTATACCAAAACTGAACACTAGGACAATATCTTACATCTCCCAAAGCCAGAGCTCACGTTTTCCTGCTTCAGTTCTTTTTTGTTCTTCCTTTTTCTGTTCTCCTTCTACCACATTCCAGTCTTACCAGACTGGTATACTTGTGTCTGAGTCCTAACTCTGACACTCATATCAAAAACATGTGCAAAACCCAAGTTATGTGAAATTCTGTAAGCACATTTGCTTGTAAGTGGTAAGAACTAACAACAATGAAGTTGATAAATGGAGAGTGCCTGTGAAATAGCTTCATATCAACTCAATTGAAAAACAAACATCTTGAGTCCTATATCCTCACTATTTCCAAATGAACCTTGCAAATCAATGTAGTCTGAGATTAGGGTTCTCCAGAGGGACAGACCCTAAAGATTAAGGTGTTGTATATGGAAGGATAGAAACCTAGTATGGACATGAGTGAACACTGTTAGTAACAGTGAATTGTTACCAATCTGGTACATGGAAATATTACCAGTATTTATCACACATGTGTGTTCTCTGCCTCCATTATCAGAACAGAAAGCCTGATCCAGGAGGGTACTTTCTGTTGAGAAATTTTAAATCAGCATATTGTCAATGTATTGTCACTGTCTCTAACCAGCTGCAGTTCCTGCAAGGAAATGAAAGTGAAAGAAAACCCAGGGAAAAAGATACAGTACAGATTGTATCTACACCTCAGGTGCAATAGAGATTTGCAGCTGGTACTGTGTGATGGTTGAGATGTGTTAAATGCAGCCCCAGACTACAAAGCCTACAGGTGATAAAAGCAACATAACCATCATTAATGTTCTTCTGTAGCAGTAGAGGTACAAAGAAAAAGTGCTTAACTGGAGAGGGTGTTAAGAAAAAATTTTGCATCTCCTAAATGTAGTCTATGGTATTCAGGTGCAGAATAGGTATTTATTTAATTTCTGGTGTGATAAGGCCTTGATTTTCATCAGACCATATATTGTGATTGCAATATATACTAAGAACTGGCAAGCTCCTAGAAATAAGCCTGAATGTTTCTTTCAAGGAAAAAACAGGAAGGAATTTAAAGTATACTTTGGTGGCTTTTCCATGTGTTATTTTGAGTGCACCCTAGAGACTAAGAGACTGTTTGTACCGTCTCATCCATGAATTAATTTGAGACTAGATTTCTTAATGCCTGTCTTAAATGAAAGACAATTTATCGTATTGCCCAGAAATACTCTGAGACTTTGACCACTTACCTTGGTGACCTGTTCAAAAAGGAATGGTCTGTTCTTGACTCGCAGCTTCATTTCTTCCAGCTCCTTTCTGTATTCTTTTGTTCTGTCTTGCATATTTTGCCTGAAATGGAAAAATTGCCTGTCTACTATAGGTTACCTCTGACTGTAGCTGATCAGGAATGATGAATTCTCAGTGAGTGTTCCATTCTTTAAATCACTTTGGTAATTCTCTTGATTCTGAATGCTGGGAAAAAAACCCCTATTGCTGACAAGTTATGGACCTATTAGCAAAGCTCTTCTAGACTGCAAGCAAGAAACAGTGTTCACATTTTTAGAAAAACTTGTCTCTTATGTGTTCTTTACCAAGCTACACATTACAGTTGACTGGCTTGTACAAATTAGTTTCTACAAACATTAATCTAAAGGAAACCGTTCTTTATGGAAGAAGCGTGGAATTGTGAAGATACCCAAATGAATGTAGAATGGATACAGTAACCAAAAAAGGTTAGGCTATAAATGTTTTTATACCCAATCTGTCCTAAAGAATTATCTGATCATCTTCAGTTAGTAGAGCAAAAGGTTACTTTTGTGCAGAGTAGGATACTGACCTGTTCTGTTTTAACTTCTCCTTTTGTGTTTCCTCCAGAGTTTTATGAGGATCCAGTGCTTTTGCTCGGCTGTTCACAGACTTTTGCATAGCTTGACATTTCATTTTCTGTTTCTCCAGCCAATAAATTCCTTCTTTGTCCCCTTCCTTTTTGTTATCTTGGGCATATCTGTATGGAAAAAAAGTTACTGATGAGCCCATGTGGACTGCCAGATGCTAGGTGGGAATTTCAGTTTTGTAGCTCTCCAAGGAGAAAAAGTAAAATTTCAGCTGTACAAGTGCAATTTCCAAAGCAACTGGGACACAGAGCAGGACTTAACAAAGAAAGAAGACAGAGAAAGAAATATTTAGGAAATGTATTGTTGATGTAGTTGATGTGATGAGGGAAAACACTGGTGTTTTTTCCTCCACATTGGTCAGTAGTTGTACAGTCTTGTAGACAAACTTTCTACCTACCTAATAGCTGATTCCCTCTTTCTAGTTGCATCTGTAATATGCATAGGGAGGGTGTTGGAAGAGAGAGAGGAAAGTCCAGGCAGAGAGTGACTTTTTTGCACTGAAACCTTGGAAAGCTTCTGAGAATCCTGAAAGAAATGAAACTTTATTGAGTGTATTTGTTCACAGACAGTTGCTAGTACAGAATCTCCTCTGTTATTTGCCTACCAAAGAGAACAGCTGGGCTATGAGAATGCACTCACTCTTCTCTCTTCCATCAGCAGAGATTTACATGTGGATGGGCTGAGGGACAAGGGGAAGGAGACATGATTAGAGCTATGAAAGGGTGACTGAGCCTTAGCTGTCATAGCTCATTTTGTGTAGAATTTTGTTCTCTTGTTTGGCCTAGAATTCTGCAGTACTCTCAATACAAAGGCAGATGTCACAGGATGTTAACCATTAATAATTAAATGCTATAAACTTGAGAAGTTGGTATCTTGATAGAAGAAAACAGTACCACAGAAATATCCAGCTATCTCACCTTTATCTTTTCATTAGTCTGCCTCTGCCTGGCATGGAGATTGGAGGTTCTCAGCTTGAACGGCTTATTACGAGTTGGCTCTTTGATTTCTTGTCTCCTTACTGTTTTCCTCTGAAACGCCCAGTAAAGTTCTTCAAAGTCTGGTATTGCTGGATTAATCTGTGGTTTGAAGCTGAAACTTGTGTCCTGTAAGAAGCCAAGTTTTTCCTGCTTAGTTCTGGTGGCAGTTCGGGACTGAGGCTCCCTCCGACAGTTGCTGGTGTCTATAGGAGCCACGGAGCTCTCCAGCAAATCCTTTGCTCTCATTTGAATGCGGATTTCCCTGCAGAGTTCAGCTTCTAAAGGATCAAAAGGAAAGCAATGAGAACAGTGTGAGTGACATAAAAGGCTGTGAAACTGCCACTGCCCAAGTCTAAACTTTCCATTATTATGGCAGCTACAGATATAGGGAAGACCAAACATCCTGTGCTCTCCTTCCCCCCTTTTTCAGCCCCTCTCTTCTCTGCCTCCCAGGGAAAAATAATTCAAAGATGCCAGTAAAACCATGGTAGGGTCTCTTTCCTAGGCATTCATTTCTAGATATCTCTTTTACTTATTGGAGCAATAACTGAGCAGGACTCCTCCTATTCTTAAAGGTACCAGGTAACTTGTGCCCCTTGTCTCCTTTGTCTTGCAGAAATGTTAATCTTCCATACTAGTCCCATAGTTTTTATATGGGACTTACAGCCATATTGACTGTGTGGTACAAATGTGTCATTCAAGTATACTTGTAACAGATGATAGCTTTTCTATGTAATCTCCAGCAGTAATTGTCTATATTGGAAAAGTTTTTAAGTAAGGAACATTTGATGGATAGATCACGTTTTGTGACTTTTGTGATAAACTTTTATAGAATATGTTTTAGATTATAGCATCAAACTGAAGTCCTTCCCTGTGCAGCACTAAATATTTATGAAAATGCAGACAGTTGGCTGAGGGTTGTTTTTTTTTTTTTTTGCTTTTAGGGAAAAAAAATCAATACTGCTGTTTGCAAAATAAGATGATTTTGAGTTAATTTATAGGTATTCATTGCCTGAAGTATGAAATGTTAATTTCTCCTCCCTTCTCATATGCCAGATAGAAATAGAACAATGGTTTGTCCTTTGCTGCTTTTTACCTTTCTAATCTATTTAGGTTAAAATAGAATGTTTTTTGATGAAAACTGAACTGGTGTATCCTCAAGAAGAAATTACAGAAACAGTAAAAAAGGAGAAAAGAATGAGAAAAGCCATGAGAATTATTAAGGACTGGCTTAGTTCCCACATTCAAGCATGAAGTCTGAATTGCTTACTTCAAACTTTCAACTGCAGTGGCTTAAGCCATCAGAAAGCAGGCAAGCATCAGTAACATTTCCTTGGCTGCCCTGACTAGAATGGTCCTGGCACCTGCTTTCCCTGTTTTAGCAACTGAGCCAGCTGAGTGCAAGTGGGAAGGCCACTGGAAACATCAGAGAATGGCAGGAGAGACTGGACTACTACACCATCACTTAGAACCAAACTAATTGCCTGATTTGGGCTCAGGAAATACTTGTCTCCTCTCCTAGGGGTTCTGTGCAGAATGGATCACTTGGGTAGGAGTAAAATTGTCAGATCTAAGGTACTGCATGGACCTTGGAGACCTATGGCACTACATCTGTCTTCATGTTTGTGCCACAAATCATCTCAGACCCTTTAGTGTAACCAAAGGTATGAAATCCAGTGCAGGCAAAGATTCCCAGACTGTCACAATCGGCAGCAAAGTGGATATGGAAATCTGTCTGTAGAGCTCAATGTGCCCATGTTTTCTGGGGAGTGGAACAGAACTGCTGTTGCTGACACTCATACACTACTGAACTTAGGGCACTCTACTGCAAGGGTATCTAAACAAAATGCAATGACCAGGGAGACACACAGGAGACTCATCACCACCAGGAGACACTGGCCTTAGGCTCCAAGTGGTGCCTTACGAGCCATGATCTTACCTCCCAGCATGGAGACAGCAAGGGACAGGCAGGGAGGTGCTTTTACAGAAAGAGCCCTGGCATGTTACCTTTCAGTTTATCTCCAAGAAGTGAGTCATAAGTAGATTTAGGAACTTTTTTACTGGCTTGCTTCTGTTTGGAGCTCTCATTTGGGGTTGCTGCTGCCAGGAATTTTTGTCTGATAGCTTCTTTCTTTTTCTCTTCCTTCTCCACAAAACTGAAGGGCCGCTGCATTGAAAGTAGCAGCTCCTTTCTTTTCTGTGTTGCTGCTTGCCTGCGAATCTCATTCTGCTCCATTATTTCCTGATAAAGGGGCAGAAACACATGGGCAGGTACAGGCTGTGCCCGGAATTGTTTCTGACATTCAGCTTCATCCTGGCTTTGCCTTTTGTCTCTGTGTGTGTCTAGTTCAAGGAACATGTATGACTTCAGCAACTCGGACTTTCTGCGAGCTTCCCGCAGGGTCATTTTGAAAGGCTGAGGGATGGTGATGGAAGGAATCCAGGGAGATGAAGCGCTTTTTGGCCTCAAGCGGGACTTAGGAAACAAGTGAGGCTTTTGCTGATCCCAGGAACTGTCTGAGGTGAGGTCGGTCAAAGAACTGGACTGCCTTATGTTACCAGATGTGTGACTAAGACAAACACATTATGAAGGGGAGATTAGTGACATTATTAAAAAACAGAGTTAAAAGAAGGGAGACACTACTGATTAAGAGAAAGACACCGCAGGCTGAGCTGGTCGTTAAAAGACAGGCCTAGGGTTTGTCATTCTCAGGCTCCATATTTTGCTTTGCTACCGAAGTTCATGAGCAGAGCTTTGCTTGTTTTCCATGTACAAAATGGAAGTTAGGCCTACTTAGCTTTGTCATGCAATTTATTATGCTGAGAGCACTCTATTGCCAGAAAGGCCACAAGCAAACCATAAAGCTCCAGCTTTAGGGTTATCTTTCTAATAGCTACTCAACATAACAGACAAATGCAGGAGAGGCAATCAGGCACAGAGATGCACAAATCCCAACAAACAGTACCAAACACTAGCATTCCTGGGATGCTGATGGGAATGTCATTACAAGAAACTGCTTTAGTGTGATGTTTGAGAGATTCAGCTAGAAACTTTGTACCTGAGAAGATGACCATATTATTGATAATAAGAAAACCCACCTGAGACTATCCTGGGTCTCATTAAAATGGCAAACTTCTCATAGCATGTCAGAGGGTGATTGTGAAAGTGAGTGAAACAGATTTTAGGGATGGAATAAATGCAGGCAAAAGGAAGGATCAAGGTGAATCAGAGTGGACCAAGAACAGCAAAGGAGAAAACAGTGGGGGGAGACAGAAGGTGCAGATCATGTGTGAACAGACTCCTGGTCAATACACTTGCTGGTAATTGCTGCAGTCTCTTCTTCTTCATAAACTATTTCCTTTATAAGAGTGGACGTGTGACCTGCTAGTGAATGCAAAGCTAGATTAATCACAAGGAAAGTCATCTGAGAGCTCGACCTTGGAAAGCCCACAGCTCTGAAGACTGGATACTGGATAAGAATGTGTGTCATCTGCTGGCACATTTCAAGCATGATTAGCTGATGAGTGAGGCGGGGATTTGTGCTGTTCGTGTTTTAGGTGAAAGCTGCTTAGTGGGCACCTACTGACCCATCCTCCCTGCTGTGACTCCACCTGTGGCCCGTGTTCTGGCACTGTACACCCGCATTTTGGGACATCATGCTCCGGCTCCTCGCTGGCCACAGGGAGGAGGAATCCTGCACCCCATCCTGCCATCCGTACCAGGTATCGTCCTACCTGAGAGCCTCCCTCAGCTTCTCACGCAGAACTTCCGCCTCCCTCCTGAAACCCTCCAGCTCCTCATCTTCTTCGAACACCCCGAGGTCACCCCATAACTCTGCCTGGCACGGTACGCCCGGTTCTAACGGAGACCGCCGGCCCCCCATCCCGATAGGATGCTCCCAGCTCCTTGCCCGGCGGCGGGAAACGCAGGAGTCGGCGCGTTACAGCCTGCGGGGACGTCGCGTAACCTGGAAAAAACGAGAGGAATCGGGCAGAGCGGGTTCTGGGGTTGCGACCCCGCCTCTCCGCCCGGGAGCGCCGCGGCCGGGGCCCCTCCTGTCCGCGGGCCGCCGCCTCAGCGCGCCCCGCCCCGCCCCCGGTCTGCACCAATCAGCTCGGCCGGCGGCGCTCGGGCCCGCCCACTCGGCCGCACGCAGCCAATCAGACGCGAGGCCGGCCGCCCGCACAGCCGTTGTCATGGCTCCGCTCGCCACTTCCGCCGCCGTCAGTTCCGCGGCGATGGCGGCGCTGCGCGGGCGGGCGCTGCTGGCCCCGCTCGGAGCGCGGCTCAGGGCCGGGCCCCGCGCCCCGCTCCGCTCCGCCGCCTCCAGCCCGCCGCTCTACGATGTGGTGGTGTCGGGCGGGGGCATGGTCGGGAGCGCCATGGCCGCCGTGCTGGGTAAGGCTGAGACCCACTCCCACTCCCCGCAGTGTGAGGTAACCGTGTATAGGATCTCAGTGTCCGGGGTCTGCTGAGGGATCCTTGATCCTGCTCTAAAGTTCACCTGAGGCTGTTTGGTGAGCCGGTCAGTGATGAGCCAGGCCATAGCTCTGTGTCTGCACAGTGTTAATGGGGCCGTTAACTAGAGTTTTATAGACTGTAGTGTTTCTGTCAAACATGCTCATCCTTAAATAGCTGATGGATATTGTCACCCTTAGCTAAAATGCTTTTCTGATTGTAGAATCACGGAATGGGTTGAAAGGGACCTTAAATATCACATAGTTCCAACCCCGTGCTGTGTGCAGGGACACCTTCCATAGACCAGGTTGCTCCGAGCCACATCCAGCCTGGCCTCAAACACCTGCAGGGTTGGGACATTTACAGCTTCTCTGACATTAACAGCTTCTCTTCATTTACACCTGTTCCAGTGGCTCACCATCCTCACAGACAAGAACTTCCTCCTAATATCTAATCTAAGCCTACTGTCTTTCACTTTGAATGTTTCTCCTTGTCCTGTCACTACATGATCTTGTAAAAAGTCCATTTTTGTCTTTCTTGTAGGCTCCCTTCAGGTACTGTGAGGCCACAATTCAGTCACCCCTAAGCTCTCTCTTTTCCAGGTGAACGAACCAAGTTTGCTCAGTCTTTCCTTGTGGGAGAGGTGCTCCATCCATCTAATCATTATTATCTGATCCCAAGTTTCATTCTCTAACCCAGTGTTTTAAACACTAATACCAAGTTAAAATGGATCCTTTGAGATCCATTGCTTTGTATCCTTAGAGATCCTGAGAGTACTGGCTGCTCCTTTATTTGCAGCATGGATTCAGAAGGGTGCAATAGTGACAGAAACCTAAAAAAAGTAGTGCCCAGAAGATCAAAGATGCTGAGCAATAAGTACTTTGCAAGTGTAAGGGCTCACCTTGCAAGCTTAAGTTCTGCTTGTATTGTTAAACAGGAGCCCAGTGGATTTGAGAAGGATCCCCTCCAGCAGTGGTACCTAAGGCTGACAAGCAGGTTTGGGACCTCTCAGGAGATGAGGTTATTACTGTGCATGATGTAGAGATTATGCCAGGACACTGCTGTCTCTAGGGCTGCTGTGGTAGTAAACTCTAGATGATGAAGGACTCCACTTCTGTCCTCAGTGCCTTCTGCATCTGTGGTGGTTGGGATGCTGCAGGTGTGGCCAGCTCAGCTGCAGTGTTTTACACTTTACTTGAGTCTTTTTTTTTTTTTTTTCAGTTCTCTTTATGGGGAAGTTTAAAGTCTAAACTGCCTGTGCTATTCCATTGTCAGAATGAGAGGACAGGGAAAATATTAATGTAATTGCTACATATCACAGAAGTTTTATTTTGATCTCTTCTTCTATAAAGAGAATTTATGTTTAAGCTCTGGAAAACGTGTTCTGGTGTAAACATGGAGTAAATATTGCAGATTTCACTTGATAATACTCCAGTAATAAATTTTCACTTAAAAATGGCACAAATTTGTACAAAAATGTAAGCTTTATGCAAAAGGGAAATATGTAATCCTTGCTTTAGCTGCAAAAGAGTTGTCCATCTCAGTAACAGGACTGTAGTCATAAAGCTTTAACATACAAAAGTTTACCTGTCTGGTCAAAACCTGTACTGTATATGCATTTCTTTATTAACTGTTGCATCTAATGTGTCTTATTACAAGAACTCAGGTGTTTTGTTTTTGAGATTTTTGGCAGGAGCATTGTAACAAAGCATGTATTTGCTTATTTTAGGGCATGACATCCACTTCCATGATAAAAAGATTGCTTTGCTGGAGGCTGGTCCTAGGAAAGAATATGATCACATGCCAGACAGTTACAGCAACAGGGTCAGTTCCATCTCCCCAGGATCAGCTACCCTCCTAAGCAGTAAGTATGATTTTATTGTTTGCATTTTTAACATTTATATTTGAGCTGGTTTTGTTGAAACAAAAACCCTTTTGACCATGTGTTGCCTTCACCCTAACATCAGTAGCATTATTTGCCTTTGTCTCTACATGCTGAGTTGTGGTTATTAAATCCAAATTCTCTTGATAACAAGGATCTGTGTTCTGGTATCTTGGTCTGTGTATTATTGTATAAATATTGTATAAATATTTGTGACTTTAGGCAGTGAAAGGTTTTAAGGTGCTCTCAACAGCACCTAGAATGTTCTATCCAAAAAGAAGCTTAGTGCTTTGTAGGCTGGTAGCTCAGTCCTCAATTAATGAGGATTAATTGTCATTTTAAAGAGACATTTGAGCCTTAATTCCTTTTGGAGAAAGAAATGTTTTCTACAATTATGGCTGTGCGTTTCTATGTCTGTTTTATTACCCAGTGATGGAACAGTGAGAGCTGTCTGTTAGGTCAGAGGCTCATGGAGAGCTCTTGTTTCTTTCCTGCTGGCATGTGTTAACAGTAAAACAATGTGATTCTGGAGATAGCACCGAGGCAGACCTGGCACTATCTAGGGAAGGTGCAAGCCAAGCCTGAGCATAGTCAGGGAAGAGTGGAGGAGAGTGTGGAGTGAGCTTCAGTTTAGTTTTGGGCTCAGTGTCTCATGTGAACCTGTATCTCTGTGCATTTCTATCCTTTTTCTCTTTCAGGTTGTGGTGCCTGGGATCACGTCTGCAGCCTGAGACTCAAACCCTTCCGGCGAATGCAGGTGCCTTAGGGCTGCAGATACACCTTGTGTCTGTCTACTCTGAATGCTCAAAAGTACTTGCATCAATGGCACAAAGGTTTTTATTCCTATGGTAAAGGGCAGGTCATACTTATGTTCATTTCTGTCTCTTTTTTGTGGGTAGCAGTCTGCTCAGAAATACCTGTCCCCAGGGCCTTGATGTTACAGGCTGAAAGGTGGATTCCTAGTGGCAGCTGTAGATATTGAGGCTTGGGTATTAGCCAGGAGATAAAGATAAAGGGTGTATTGGTTTGGCTGGGATAGAGTTTCTTCTCTTAATGGTGGCTTGTATGGGATGGTGTTTCAGATTTGTGTTGAAAACTGTTGATAGCACAGGGATGTTTCAGTTATTGCTGGGCAGCACTTACACAGTGCCAAGGCTTTCTCACACTGCCCTGCCAGTGAGCAGGCTGGGAGTGCACAAGAAACTGGGAGGGTACATAGGCTGGACAACTGATTCTGGCTGATAACCCATACCATATGGTGTCATGGTCAGCAATAAAAGAAGGAGGAAAGATGGGAAGTTCAGAGGGATGGTGTTTGTCTTCCCAAGTAACCATTATGCTTGATGGGGCCCTGCTCTCCTGGAGATGGCTAAATACCTGCTTGCCTTGGGAAGCAGTGAATTAATTCCTTGGATTGCTTTGCTTGAACATGTGGCTTTTGCTTTTCCTATTAAACTGCATTTACCTCAAGCAATGAGTTTTCTACTTTCATCCTTTCAGTTTTCTTCCCCATCTCAGTGCAGGGGAGAAGGGAAGCACCTCCATAGGGCTGAACTGCCTTCTGGGGTTAACCTACAGCAAGGCTGTAGCACAGCTTTCTATGTCAGTTATGTAACAGAAAAGTAGGGATGAAAAACTTGACTTGGAATTACTTTTTGAGCTTAAGCTAAATCATTTAATGAAATGAATTATGTAGTGCACTTTAGTAGCTGGGAATGAACAGTAATCCAGGATGTTTCGTCTAGTTCTTTATTTCTAGATTACCGTGTCTTTTTGCTGTTAAGTCCCTGAAATGGAGACTTCTTTATCACATAGCTTCATGTAATGTATTTTTTCTTCGTAGGTGTGGGATGCTTGTTCAGAAGCCATGATCGTTTTTGAGAAAGATGACTTAGATGACATGGGTTACATAGTGGAGAATGATGTCATTATGTCTGCTCTCACAAAACAGTTAGATGCAGTAGCAGGTAGAGGACAACTTCTTCAATGTTTTATTTCCTGCAGATAGCTTTCAGTAACTTGCCTTCTATTGTGTGCTAAGTCTTGAGAGGGAGAAATTTGTCTAACAAGTAATTCTTGAGAAATGGGCACCTTCTGGAGTTGGGAAGGAGGGAGAAATCTGACTTCCAAAGGCTACAGAGCAGGATATGTAGTTCTCCAAAATACTTCAAAATTGGACTTAATTAAAAAATCAGTACCTCCTTGTCCAGAGCAGGCCTTACAGTGACAAGGGGTTGTCCATATCTGGTTTTTTGGGGTGCCTTGAGAATTGTAGGGTGAGCTCCTAGGGTGCCGTTAAGACCCCTGCATGGCCTTGGCTGTTGTAGCGATGTTTCCTTTTCCTTGTCCGTGTTGTGCTGTGACCATGGCGCTCTGTGTTCCCATCAGACCACGTGGACGTCTTCTACAGGAGCAAAGCAGTTGGGTACACCTGGCCCTTTCCTTCCCATGGCTGTGACACAAGCCCTTGGGTCCAAGTTGAGTTAGCTGATGGACGCAGACTTCAGACCAAGCTGCTGGTAACTAAGCTCTTTAGTTCTGTTGATAAGGCATTATCTCTAACCCAAGTCCTTTCCACTGGTTTGGTTCCAATTCCATGTGTGCCACCCCACCCATGTGGAGTGCTAGAGTGAGGTGAGTGGCTAGCCCTGTCTGTGAGGGTGTGGGACACTGGGCATGGCCTTCTCTCTGCCTGCTGCAAGGAGATGCTGCTGAATAT